AAAAAAAAACGGTTTTTGCAGCCGTGTGTTTGAAAATAACGTCGTTTTAGTGAAACAAAAGGTTGATGATTTTAAAGTAATAATGATCCGAAGAAGTATGACAAAAAGGAATAGTAAATTTTTTTGTCAATATAGGGAGCAGAAGAGGCTGATGTTTATTTTCCGCGTTCGTCAAGTTGGTACTCACTCCGTGATACCGAACATGGAGTCCAAGAGGGACCAGGGCGTAAATCTATTCATGCAACGTCAAATGAAATGATCCCAGTGTATTTGCGCGGTAATTATTTGTTTGATTATTGTTTAACTTTTTATAGATTTTAGATTCTTGTCTCTCCAGTTTTATCTTGACTTAGGAGGTACTATTATTCTGGAACAAAATCCACAAATGACAACAAAAGCTACACGGGAGCAAAATCTTACAATTGTTGTTGCGCCTGAAAAACAAGTTCAAGGTTTATTATTTAAGCTTTAAAGTTTTATAATTAAACATTTTACTGATTCCTCAATTCAATCGACAAACAAACAAAGTTTTTAATTTTTTTACTGAATGGTATTGCAGGATAAATTAGTAATAAAGAAAAGTTGATTTTTTAGATCAAGGAACTCTGTTTCTAAATTGAAACTGTCTTTTCCTTTAAAATTAAAACTGAAATTGCTTTAAAATGTAGTTTAAATCTTTGGCTTTCTGTAGCGTTCATTTAGCGTTTACACTCACTTTTAACGTAAAAAATCTCTTTTCGAAAGTATTCAGATGAAACTGCTTATGGGAGGTTTTACTGGGACGACGGAGAATCTGCTGTTGCAAGCATTGAAAGCCATTCAAACTGTGAAATTAGCATTGAATTTCATCGACCGTTTTCCAAGGCAACCTTGTCAATTAAAATGGTAATCCTTTTAAATTAAAAGGATTTTTAGTGCTAATGTTTTCTGTTAATCAAAGAAATTAGTTGATGCAGTGACCAACATTTTAATGAGTCTCGGCTGTCTAGGCTACAATAGTTGAAAAGATATCATCACGAGTTTTACTTATTTTAACGCGTACAACGTACGTAGCGATAGGGTCAGATATTTTTTTGCTGCTGTTATTATACCAGTGTTCTAAACATTCATTCTATATTCTACAGGCATGCACTGGAACTGTTAAAGTACCCGCTATTGGTTGCCTCAAAATCTTTGGTTCTTACCCTTTGTATTCTGGTTCGTTGACGCTTGGCAAAGATTCGATGCCTGCAGTTGTAGAATACAATTCTACTACCTTTACGCTAATGATTAAGCCAACTACACTAATTGAACTGTCAAGTTCTACGCCAATATCTATCAAATGGAATGAGAATAGGTAGAATCAGTTGGTTTTTTTTTTAAATTGGTTTGACAAGAAACGTTTCAGAGACTGTCTCAGTTCGTTTTAAGTTTAAGGTCGATTTCCTAATGAAGTCGTTTCACAGAACTACAATAAAAAAGGCTGCTGTAATAATTATTTTCAATTTTAGAGAACCGCATTCAACTGAAACCCCAACTCCAACTGACCAAACTTCTCAACCTTACTCTATATGGAGCACAATCTTTGCTATCGTTTTTAACATGGTTTTGATCATTAGTTCTTAAGCTTAAGAATTTTGTGGAAAATAAATTTGAGCTATCACATATTTTTTAACGTAAGGTAAAGGTTTAGATTTTGTGCAAGTGAGGATAGCGTAAAACATAAAGGAATTTTTCAAGTCATATTTACTTGCTAATGCGTTTTTGTTTTACCGTTTCGTCATCATCTTTTATTTGAGGATGTAATTAAACTTTGCTTCTATTAGGCTCAAATTTCCTACGGAAAGTGATTTTAAGACAGGTGTTACACTAAGTATTAACATTACATTTGAAAAAAACGATAAAAAATGAGATTTAATTTAGTTACGTTAAAAAGAGTCCTACAGTAACAGGAGATATTTTTGTAAAAAACTGGTTCCTCATGCGACTTTAAAACTGGCAGGGTTGCTTTGATGTCTGCTAACTTTTTTCGTTTTTGGAGCTGTTTAAGGGAGTGAGGTCAGACGGCTTTGTTTAAAGATAAGTCAAAAGAAGATACAGCTACAAAGAGTGTCGAAGTTTAAACCCGAGATAGTACGTTACTTATCATTTGGAAGACTGATGTGCAAATTGCTTTAAAAAATTGTTTTTAAAAGACGCAGAAAAAAGTTGTTAAAATTTCTTTTGGAGAAGTTTAAAAATTTAAGGGATTAAAAATAGGGTTGTCGGAAATATTGTATGTTCAAAATACTGTGTCGGGGAAGAGGATATTACATTTGTTAGTTTAATTAACTTGCAGACCTGTTTTACAACTGTTTTTCGGTATTCTTTTGTTTTATTCATTAATTGCTTTTTCTTTTCTATTTTTTTCTGATCATTATTTAAATTTACGCTTAAAAGTCAGGAGAAAGAAGTTAATGCAAACAAGTTTTAGCTGAAAAAGTTATAGTAAAAGTTTTTTATATGAAATCAATAAAGAAAGTGATGATTGTGATAGCCATTTTTTTATGTGTCTTCCGGTGTAAATAAAAGATGCTTGTCATGAAAATTTAAAAAAATTTCCTACCTAGAGAGGGAACCCTAGAAATTGAAAAATTGCTAAACAATCAACTGCTTTTTGCTTCTATTTCAGTTATGTTTTTGTACTCAGGAGTTTTATTGGGATCTCTCGGCAACAAACATTTGAGAAAATTATGCAAACTATTTTCAACGTTCTTCTATCTGCAGTGTTACTGCGGAGAACCAGAAGCGCTGCATCGTTTGTGTATGTTTGTGAAAAGTGGTTTTCTCCAGAATCACTTTCCAGGATGATAGCATTTTTTTTCACTCAGTTTACATTCTGATTAACGGCACTTTTATGCTCTCATCACTTCGAACATTACTGGAAAAATGTGTCTGTCGATTGGTCAATACCAAGTTTTCTGACTTTTAACATGAGAACAAGTGAAATTCCACTTTAAGAAAGTAATAGTGTAGCTATTACCGTTCTGAAGAAAGTTGCAAATTATTTTGAAAAGCAGGTGGATTTACTCGTTTTGGTACTGTTTATAGAGTTTTATAGTGAAAAGCTGTTTTTTTTTTGTTGCTGCAGCAGTTTTGTTAATGTAAACAACATCTGCAATTGTTTAAAAGAATATTGGTGCAGATGCCGTCGCTGACGTTGAATAAAATCTAGAAACGTGTTCAAAAGTCATTTTTTTTGAAAGGTTTTCATACAGAAATGGTGATTGTTGAGAAGCACCATAAAAATACTGTCTCTGTAAAATTACGAATTTTTTTTGTGGGCCTACAACAGTTCATTCTTTATTAGTTAAAAAAACTAAAAAGTCTAAATGAAGTAATTAAAGTAATTGTAAAGAAGAGCTTCTTTAAAGAATGGTAGTTTTCCCTGTTGGCTGTTATCAACAAAAATAAAACTTATATGGAAAATTATTTATAGAATTATATTTAGTTTGGCACTAATTTATTGAACTCCAATAGCAGTCTTTGTGATATCAAAACTCAAAGTTTACTTCACTTACACTGCTAAGTGAATTAAATTGAAAAAATTTTTTGTTTTGTAAGCCTGAGAAAATTAGGATACGATACGTTGTACCGCTATAACTTTTTCTGTTTGAGGCTCGAGCCTGTAGCTTACCGAGTTTTACATTATTTGTTTAATTCTGCAGACATTTCATTTAATTTAAATTTTTTTTAGTCATACGTAATATTTTTTGCTTTACATTACTAGCTTAATATCCTGGTGTAATTTGTCAATTACTTCTTATAACTGCCAGTAATAAAGCGCTTTAACAGTAATGTTGTTGAAGATATAACATTGTACAATACAATATCATTTGAAGGAAAACATGAATGTTTTAATCCAC